CAAACAAACAAAAGTCAATAACTACGCTTGCTTCCACGAAGTCAAGTGATGAGGGAGCAAACCCTCGTCACACGCGAGTACCGCCTGCGCAAGCACTCTCCCGAACCAACCATGGAACAAAAGTCCCCTCGCGCCAAGGCCCGTAAACAGCCAATACTTGCAAGCGGGCCCCACATCAACCAGCTCGTCCAGACTTCCGAGGATCGGAAGTGATCCATACTCAGTCAGCGGCGGCATTACCCTCAAACCCCAATGGCTCCATTCACCCTCCAATTTTTTACAGGCGGATACACCAAGCAAGCCTTCTGGAAGAGGGCCTCAATTGCCTTGCTTGCTTCATCCTTGCCAACATCCCTCGAGTGATTTATCGAGTTCCAATCCCACGTGGACCCAAGATCCATGTGGCGACCTCCGTGCACTGCAAGCCATGCATCGGATAAAATCGAAGGGTTTTCTTTCGGGATTTCTTCTCTGCAGATCAAATCTCTTCTTTATATTGGATAATGAGGAGAAAGCATCACAATGAGCTTTATTTAGAATTAACTGAAAGCATGGTGGCGAAAAAGTAACTCCATCTTTAGGCTACTTCCGAACAAGATCCAGTTACAAATATCCCTTAGAAGCTGTTGCATTACGGATCCCAATGATCCCTCATCCTCACTCAACAGGTACAATAATCAGGTCAATTAGACGCGCACGCTAGCCTTTCTCATTACTGGCCCATGAATAAATATAGTAATTTGTTTTATGTATATTTATCAGAGGTTGTTACTAATAGCAATACATATATTAGATGTGCATTCATAAAGCCATTTTCAGAATTACCTAGTCAGCCTAAAACTGCGTCATTCACATTTTCATACAAAATCTAGGACACCAAGCACTAATTGTACACCATATTAATGAGCAACAAATTCAGGCATAGCCGCATAGACACATGTAATATATGATTTCGCAGTATATTATCTTTATTAAGGGAAGTCTATATTCCTTCAAAAATGAGGTGCAGGGATAAAACCATGTATTAACCAGTGCAACACCCTTACAAAGTGTGGGAGGTACCACTTAAGCTACAAGCTCGTGGTAAAATTGCGAACAATATAATCCGACCAAATCAAAATAAACTTATGTCAACCCATTAAGAAATGACAAACAAGCATCATTCTTAGTATTTGCATTTATCTCTTTAACTGAAAATGAGATCAAATGTGGATGCAATATGAAGGCTCAAAACTACATGCAGTTAAGCATATTAAACCGCTTGTCCAAGTCCTCCTTAGGCACAACATAAGCTTTCCAAACAAGCTGTCATACTATTCAATATGGAAAATGACAGCAAATATCATTAGACTTTTACCTAATATCATCACCAAGTTGAAGTTGAGCAATTATGCCTCTACACGTACGCAAAGGCAGCTTTCCACGTAATTCTGGCAAGAAAGCAGTCCTTGCTCCAAAGCATACAACAACTGCATCAAAGTTCCCTGCAAATGACAGGCCATTAACATTTCTTTTTCTGGAAAAACGATGAGAATTGTTAGAGTTAAATTTAAAGCATCAGTTGAAACAACATGACATTTTATTCCCTTGGAAACTAATGAGGATTTTAAATTTGCTAAATCCCACCAATTCATTTCATCATCCTTTCCTTTCTATTTAAAACTAGAGGATAGTAGTCAATGTAGATTATATGCATGCCAAAACTAATCATTTTCAGAATCATAAAGTGGAAACAAATGACTTTTTTCGGTTGGAGGAAAAACATTCACATATAAAGATTTTACCTGCTAGTTCTCTAAGGCTCTCAACCGATTCCTGGTGAAAATTCAATTTTCGATGTCCATGACCCGAGGTAGACATGTCATTTGCTAGATTTTCACATGCTAGGTATAGACCCTGCAAGGGGAAAAAATTAGAAAAGCAAAAACCCCACTAGAAAACAGATAGCAGATTAGCACATAGGAGCTTTTTCTAACCTGAAGGTAGTTTTGCACATTTATATTCAGAGCTTCAGGCATATAAAATGCCATGTTTGAAGGAACCGATAAATTGGGAACGAGCTTTTGAGCGGCATCGTCATGCAAAAGCTCAATTCTGCAATTGGCAAGACAGTTCTGAGCATTCTAATCATGAAAACAAGTCAGTGACAAATTGCATTTACATTTCATACTTAATTTTGTAGCTTGAGAGGTCTTACTTCTGTCATTATGCCAATGTGCTTCATATTGACAGCAGGTCTTAAGATCCCTCTGAAATAAACAAATTTAGCCTAAGATCCAGGTGAAAACTTATACTTGTAACAAACTCAATAGTAAGAAAGCATGTTATACAACAAAGATTAAGTAAATGTCAGGTCAAATAGAGTTAGCCAGTTAGGGGATAATTACGAAAAATATCCCTGAGCCTGAGTTTGGGGAGTGGTTACATGAAAGCTCAAATGAGTTCCAAAATTGCGGAGCACCCTTGATGATTTTTTCTTTCTTATATTTCTCATTCATAAGAAAAGATGTTTTGAAAAAAATAGTTAGAAATATCACAATTGACTCCGTTGGAAGTAAAACCTAAGGGAGCTTACGTAATTTCAAGCCTTCTGCAGAATTTTTTGTAAAAACTTTAATCCTCAAGATAGCTTTTCATAATCACCCCATAAAGTAAAGTTCAACTATTGACAAAAGAAAAGATTAAAAACATGACAATTTCCACAAGAACTACAAGGTAAACCACCATAAAATCCACACCCCTCAGTTGAATTTTTAGCAATATACCCTCCTCACCAATACAGACGCTTAACTGAAGCATTAATGAAAACATATAACAAAAAAACAAACCTTCTCCTGATTATAGGTGATACGCTATTTTCCGGAGTTGCACCTTTGCCCTCATTTATCAATGCTCTTTCAGCAATATCTACGAGATATAAACTCTCTTTCCACAAGTCTTCACCCCGCCAAAGAAGCTTCACTGCCATATAATTAACCAACTTATACCACATATGTAATCCCTCTTATATTATATAGTTTGAACTCATCTATAGGGTATTTTTCAAAGATAAAAAACTTGTTCTGAAAAACTAGTCGAGCTGAAGGCAATCTTTTTTTAGATAGAGGACCTTTTGGGGAGTATGGATGCAGAAGGCCACCAGCAACTCCAGATGCACCTCCACCAATGCCAACTTCATCATAAATATGAACATGAATATGTGATTCCTTAGGGCCGTGCTGTAAATATATGCTTCCAACAATTAATACAAACATAATATAAAAAAAAAAAAAAAAGAGAAAGAAAAAGGACATGGAAACAAATAAAAATATGAAAGGATACATGATCACTCAAAGCATTACTGATATAAAAACGTGAGGGCTGGTTGTCTAACATTGCCAACAAAATAAACGGTTACTAGGAAAACCTGAGAATTCATTGTACTTTTTGCTTCCAACCCTCGTGCTTTTTTGGCTCAGTAACAACATGAGATTCACCCAACACTTATTCTTTATTTTACAAATCTTGTATCCTATTTCCAGCTATATTCTTCAAGAAAACACTTGGGGAAATAACAGAACACAATTTGAACAACTATTTAGCAAATGCCAACAATCAGGAACCAAGAATGTCTAAAGTCGACGCAATCACACCACCAAAACTCATACATAAAGAACATAACGAGTAAACGGGAGAGGGGGAGAGAGTGAAAGAGTACTTGAAGCAAATTCCAAGCCACGGACAACCCAGCAAACCCAGCGCCAAGAACTGCATATCTACAGATTTAGCCCAAGTATTAACACAAAAGGATTAAAAAAAAATTAAACCTTTTAACAACCATATGACATAACGCTCAAAAGGCTGGAAATGGGGGAAAAGGAAAACTCAGAACAAGCACCTGATGGGTCGTTGGGGTACAGAAAAGGATGAGGAAGAACGCACTGAGAAGAGAAAAAACGAACAGCGACTAATGTTGTTTGCTGTCTTCGGCCATTTCCAACAACCAATATCTGGGCTTTGAGTTAACATCTCCGCATTTGTATTCTACTCGTCAGCAGTTTGCCCTTATGTTGGAACATTCGATTCTAATCCGAAGTTTCAAGACTCAAAATTTTGCGTGCTAGTATCCCAACACATTTTTTTTATGGAAATTTTTTTAACCTCCCAAATTCTGCCGATTTTTAGAATTTGTCTTACGAACTTTTTTCTTCACAATTTGTCTCCTATAGTAATCGAAATGGACAATTTTCTCGGACACAGATGCACGACGCGACACTCCAGTGCTAAGGCAACCCGAAGCGACCCGCGACGATTGCGCGCCAGACGCAAACGCCAGCACCTCAGTGCCCAACGCGCACGCAAGTGACCCGCAGTGACTCGACGCGACGTGCATGCATTCCAGTGACCCGCAGTGACCCGATGCGGCGCGTAAGCACCCAGACAGTATCCGACGCCCATAGAACCCCGATGACCCGATCGCGTCCCGACTGCATTACGGTGACCCGTGATCAATCGAGGAGGCCAAGTCCGGCTGCCCAACGGACTCTGCGGTTCAAACGATCTCCTACAGAGGAAATCGACAACGATCTCCTAATCCTTACTATAGATTCCGCTAGTTAGGGTTTAATACGTTAGATTCGGATGTGCATATCGATGACGTTTCTAATAGACCCAAAAATATTCATACATACAAGCACACCATCGGCCGCTCCCTCATATATATAGGGGACGGATCCAATGGGTCCACCTCTTAAAATGTGGACGTGAGACCCAATCTCAACCGTTGAAACTGCCTTTTAAATCTACGGTCAGCATCAGGTATATATATAATTATAAAATCACGAGCTGAAAATCACAAACCTTCAGCTCCCTCGCACACGAAATCGGAAATAATATCTCAGATTTCCTCCTCAATCATGATTCTCTGCGATTTCTTTCTCTGCGATTTCTTTCTCAATCCTTCAGCTCCCTCGCACACAAAATCGGAAATAAAATCTCGGATTTCTTTCTCCTCAATCACAATTCTCTGCTCATTTATTTGAGAAAATAAGCTACACAAAAGTCTATTTCATTAGATTTATCTACAAATGTCGACGGAAGCAGCTTCAATGGAGATCGAAGCAACTCCATTGCGACATTAATGGAAGAAGGTATACTGACTTTATTTTATTCTAAATTGATTCATCAAAATTTAAATAAATAGGTGTTGATGAATTCACCATGAATAACAATCGAGTTATTCAATTAGAATCAATCACGTATTGTTCGTGCTTATCTGCAATTTTGTTTTTTCTAGAATCTCTGTTTTCTGGCAAGAATATTATATAATGTTGATGCAGTTGTTGAAATTATTCGTTGTTGATGCAATAGTTGTTGATAATGTTGAACAAATTGTTCATGTTATTCTGGAATTTTGATTCATTATATAACTAACACCTAGCAGCACTAGAGCACTAACCTAGAAGGCGTAGACAACTAAACTAGCAGCATCAGAGAACTAACCTAGCAACTACATACAACTAACATATCAACTACAAACAACTAACCTAGCACCATTAGGAAACTATCCTAGCAAATAAATATATCTAACCTAGCAGCACTAGAGCACTAACCTAGCAGACGTAGACAACTAAACTAGTAGCATCAGACAACTAACCTAGCAACTACATACAACTCACCTAGCAGCATGAGAGAACTAACCTAGCAGCATCAGAGAACTAACCTAGCAACTACATACAACTAACCTATCAACTACAAATAACTAACCTAGCACCATCAGGAAACTATCCTAGGAAATAAATATATCTAACCTAGCAGCACTAGAGCACTAACCTAGCAGGCGTAGACAACTAAACTAGCAGCATCAGACAACTAACCTAGCAACAAGATACAACTAACCTAGCAGCATCAGAGAACTAACCTAGCAACTACATACAACTAACTTATCAACTACAAACAACTAACCTAGCACCATCAGGAAACTATCCTAGCAAATAAATAATCTAACCTAGCAGCATGAGAGAACTAACCTACCAACAAGATACAACTAACCTAGCAGCATGAGAGAACTAACCAAAATGCTCCTCCTTCTCTCTACATTTGTCTCTCTAGATTTTTTCTCCTCACCTACCAAATTCAGCCACCACTGCTCCTCCCCATCCGCCACCACCACCAGCACATAGTCGCCCTCTCCGGCCGCCGGGCTTTTCCTTTTCTCATTTTTTTTAGTCCTTTACTTCGCATCTATGGCTCCCTCACCTCACCATTTACCATCGTTTTCGCCAACCCTCACCATAGATCGGCCCAACCTATCGTCGGATCCTCGTCTTCCCTCTGTTATTC